CCCCTGTTCAGTTTAAGGAACATGCAATCAGAGATGCACTCATTTACATTTCCCAGTTTGGTGAACTTGAACATTTGCAGAAGTGTTTCGCTGAATTGCATCAATGATGTTTTAGGAGCAATAACTGAGTTGTGTTACAAAAGGACACTTTTTCTTCCTGTTCCTCATATTAAAACCCTTTACTCTATTTAAATATCAAAGTGTTTGCCACTTTTCCCACAACTCAAGATGGCTGGCTCTTGGCTCCTTCTTCTCCTCATACTCTGTCTACCATAGAAATTATGTATCTGTTTTCTGTGCTTCTCTAAAATTCTGTCTTCTCACTAGCAATTCAGACAGTCCAGGAGGGGTTGAATCCTGAGCAGGAACACTAAGATTCCTAAGTTTTCACCAGTTTTAACTACATTTAGCTCTTGTTACTGCTTTGAAAATTATTAAAATGAACAAGTAAAAAAAAAAAAAAATTAAATTTAAAATGCAGTCTTTTGAGAAAAAAACAAAATATATTCTTCAGTCACATTTGCATTGATTAAAAAATTATTTCTCTAAGTGCTTACAATAAAATCTGTGCTTTCATTTTCTTAATTCTGAATCTGTTTGCAATTGTGTTGAAATTGCAGTTCAGGTTTTTTTTCCTGTAATCTGAAACATTCTTCAGCTGGAAAGGTGTCTTTCCAAAAGTCTAATAATATTAAAGAATTTATGAAATAAGACCTTTTTATTGTACACAATAGTGCTTTGGTGGGTAGTGAACCAAAAATTATGAAACAGAAGAGGTTTTGGAAGGGTTTCTGCTGCATGATATGTTTTGAGATTTATTTTTCCATCTCAAAACACACACAAATAACTAAACTTTTTATAAAATGGAAATTATGGTTTTCATTTTTCTTACAGGCTTTTCAGTCTTTTTCACAGGTGCACTTGACATTGACAACAGGAAGAGAATAGATGTGAGAGAGGAAACACATCAGTTTTATTTAGTAGTCCCCTAAAAAGAAAAGTAGACACATCTCTACTGTTACTCTTTCACAGCAAAGAAATAAAAGTTCTCTTCTGTTTTTTTACTGTTTGATTTTCAGTATACCCTTTAATGTTTTACTTGTCATATTTTGTCAATTGAAGGGAAAGGAATCACCATTCCTGTCAAAGAGGTACTGAGCAGCTGTCACCTTTGCTGACAGTTACAGCTCAGATGAAAACCTGGTGTTACTGAATTTCCAAGTGAGCTTTCTATTCAGAGTGCCATGAACTAGGGAGTATGAAGAGAAGCAAAAAAATTCTACCTAGATTTAGTGAGGGTTACTTCAGAGGCTGTAGGCCCTCTTAGTATCTCATATAAGACTAAAATACATCCATCCACTAAATGTTTCAGAAATGAGGCAAGCAGAAAAGCTTAACATTTCTTTTTCTATGTCAGAAGCTTGAGGACTGATGTAAATGGCAATAAGACTGGAGCTTCTAAATTGAAGAATCCCTACTGAGTTTTTGTTTTAGTCTACTTGTATGTCTGCAGGAGAGCTGAGCACGCACAGGACCAATGTGATCAAGCAATGCCCATTTATTACAACTAAGAAAGCCCTTTTATAATGTTCTCCCGCACACGGGAGTAACATGCAGTACAAGTCCTCAAGACTGGACAGTTACCTTAGCCCGCGCTTTAAACCTTCTTATGATTGGATAAAAAGTGCCACATCAGCCTTGCCAGGCTTCCTGCCTTGTGGAACTTCCTCTTCCTTCCCAACCCCTTCTGGGGGCTGTTTGTCTCGTCGAGTTTCTCTCCCCTCATTCAGGGTTACGTCCTTATCGCATTCTTGCTTAGCTGAGGCTCTTATCAGTCTTGTTCTCACGCAGGATTGCTCACATGGCCATTCTCTCGCAGAAAGCCCTCTAGAATCCCAACATATGTCTATTTGTCTGTTGCAGTTTAAATATAATTCTCCCCAATAAAAGCAAACCCATGTCTTTCTAACAGGGATATTTATGTAACAGAACTATACTTTTAACAGATTATGCATATGAAACCTTAGTTGAGAGTTGATGCTTTAAACTTATCCTGCAGCAAAGTTTCTCTTGCAGAGAACTGATGCAAGCTCCTCTGATTTGAATTGTGTTGGAAACCTGTATTTGAAAGGAAGCAACTCATAAAAGGATTAGAGCCCCATAAGGATTTGACAAAAAGAAAGACAAAGTTGGAAGGAGGATTTTCTGTACTCCACATTTCCCCAAGAGGCTATTTGCCTTCGAGAATGATTTGCAACAACAGTCTTGTGTGCTTTGCATGCCCCCCTCCTCCTCTGCAGAAGACACTAGGGAAACATCATTTTATTCTTTTGCTCCTTGTGATGGACATCTTCCTTACTGAAAACCATGCCAAGAGAACCTACCCTTTTCAGAAAGCTCTTGTAGGCATCTAACCACAAAGTCTGGTGCCTTTCAACCCCTATTCAAGAGGTGCATAAATTTGGGAAACACTTTTGTTTTACTGATGGTAGTGTTCCACAAGTGCATGAAATTTGCCTTTAGCCAGGCCATAAATCCTGATGCTGTTTGTACAGAATCTATGCATGCATTTTTTTATCTCCTTGTCAAGATGTGCTCTCAGAAGAAGCAAGTTTAGAAGAAAATACTGTCATTAGAAAGAAAGTTTAGATTTAGAAGAAAATACTGTAATTAGCCCTAACACAAAACCAAACGTAACTGGTATTAAATAGCTTTATGACCATTGTGACAGATTTAATGGAAATAGTATCTAGGAATAGTATCTAGGAGTGAGATCCCTTAGCCTGTGAGAAAAAATATCTTTCACTTGAAAAGGCTTATTATTAGAGCTCTGTAGATACTTTGATACAGATAAAAATTTTCTTTCTGATTTAGGAAATTTAGGGTTGTTAGGTACAAAGTGGTGCCACTTGAAAAGGATTTTTGAGGCAACAGAGTTCATGAATAGGTATTTAGTATGGTAAGTCGTAGATAGAAGAGTTAAAATATACAGCATTAGGGGTTTTTTGCAGCGAGTGCCTTTTCAAGATCCCATGAAAACTGAAGAGTTAGTTTCATTCTTGATATAGCTCTCCTGAAAAGAACAGAATTTCATCTGCAATGGATTTGGCTCAAAGTTTTTTTGCAGTTGTGATCATGTGATGTGCTCATTACTTGGAACATGTTTGCTCTGTGTCACATGCATGATATATTAGGAACGCATCTCAGAGTTCTTTGCAATTCCTATTTTCTCGTGCCTTTTTCTGGGCTTCCAACAGCTCAGCTAGAAGCTCCTGAAAGACTGGCAACATTAGTTAACATCACTTGTTTGACACTGGCTCACACTACTTCTGAATGTTTTTAGCTGACATTTGAAGTACTATATCAAATTGATCAGGTCAAGAAACAATAGAAATAAGCCCCCTCTGATCTTGCTGCTGTAGCTGTGCTTTTTTCTGGATCTGCACTCAGTTTATTTTTAGAGTTGAGTATCTCTCTCTACCGAGCTACAGCCTTCAGTAGAGACTTCACCTTTGCCAGGTTTCAGGAATCATCAACACTTATTTTGTGAAAGATCTAGCAAGTTTTCCAGTAAGACCCTCTGTCAGGAATGACAGTTTTTGACAGAATGGCTATTTCCAGATAGCATTAGCCAGCACTGAGGGCTGACCTCTCTGAGAGACTGATCTATTACACTGCTCACAGGCTACAACCACGCAAATTAAAGGTCTTATTTAACTGGATCTGAGGTTAAGTGACACCAGCTGGCTGGCACTTATGTTTTTTTAATCTAACCTCCTACACCAGGTGTGTCTTGCAAAGAGATGCTTGGTTTAAACAGTGCAGGTGATCAGAGTCCACAAGTAGCCTGAACCCACTCTCTGCCCCTCTTTTATTAAACAGCATAGATGTGCCCACAGTTACTGGCTGGCTTGGCCCAGTACCCTTCTCAAGCGTCTATTGCCACTCTTCACAGAACTTACTGTTGTTCTGTCATCTGTCTTTCTGGTCATTCATTGCCATTTCTTCACTTTGCCAACTGTACTTCTGTGAAACTGAATCCCTGTACTTGCAGCTTAATGAAAATAAGAAGGCATGCATGTAGCACAGTGAGGCATGAGTTCTTAGTTGCAGCTGCTAAATGCTGCTACACTGTACAGAATAATTAAGCTAAACCATAAGCTCATGTCTGTCAGTAAAGATTTATACAGATCAAAATTGAAAGCATGGTTTTACTTTGCAGACCACAAACCTGAAACTAATTTTGTAGAATTACAGGTGATGCCAATAAGGCAGCTGCAAACAGAACATGTTTTAATAACTTACATCTTGCAGAAATTGAAACTCAATGGCTTTTCTTTTTGTTAGGAGAGGGGTTGTTACTTCTTTAGCCTGGTCCCTTCAGCCTGTAAACCAGTCCAGGCAACTGCAATCTGTCCCTGGTTCTTGATTATACATGGTGTTTTCCTTATATTCTGTTTACATCATGAATATACCAAGAATTATTGAATGCATGTTCTCATTTCCCCAATTGAAAAAAAAAAAATATCCAGTACTTACCTGTACTTACTCACTGTTTAGTTTGGTGGGGGGGGGGAACTGTCAGAAAATACTGTGTATTACAAGAAGCAAGATCATGACATCTAGAGTAGATAGGATGGATTTAGCTCATGGAGATACTGTGGCATGGTGTTCTCATGTAGACATCAATTTAATTTTAATTTGTGATATGTGATTTTCTTTATGTTACAATAACATAAGAGGTATGAACACATAGACTGCAAAAAATATCAGAAAGCCATTCAGCAGGGGAAAAGTAGCAGTTGAAAGCTAGGAAGAAGTGAGACTGATAAAACATTACCATGATTTGGAGGGAGAAGATAGTTTTCAGAAGGTAATTTGAATGGATTCAGTTCATTCAGAGATAATCTGTCAAACTACATAGAAGCTTGTTCATAGTTTGATTAATAGAAGTATGTTCTTAATTTCTGTTCTGACATACTGCTTTTCTTTCTTGACAGTTGTCCTCTAGGTTTGTAAGCCAAGTGTTCATGATATGATTCAGCTGTCTTATAGGGATCAACAACCCCCTTGTGAATAATGGTTAAAAACGGATCCCAACTCGACGTTGAAACACTGGCAATGCTCCAGAATAAAGCCATCTCCATCACCCTCCCAGTTGTGTATACACTGGTGGCTTTGATCAGTATCCCTGGCAACTTGTTCTCCCTTTGGGTGCTCTGCTGTCATATCAAACCCAAAACACCTTCTGTTATCTTCATGATCAACCTAAGCATCACGGATCTCATGCTGGCCAGCTGCTTTCCCTTCCAGATTTCTTATCACATCCAAAGCAATCACTGGAGCTTTGGCAAGACTCTTTGCAGCCTTGTGACTGTGATGTTCTACTCCAACATGTATTCTTCCATACTGACCATGACCTGTATCAGCGTTGAGCGGTACATGGGTGTGGTATATCCCATGAAGCTGATCAAGTGGAGAAGAAAAAGATATGCCCTGGCTACCTGCCTAGGTATGTGGATTTTCTTGCTACTAGCCTTCTACCCACTGGAAAGCACAGATCTGACCTATGAAGTGAAAGAATTGGGGATTATAACCTGTTTTGATGTCCTCAAATGGGATATGCTGCCTGGCTTTGCAGCCTGGGTAGCCTTTCTCCTCACATTATTTTTCGTGCTCTTCCTGATCCCTTTTGTTGTAACAGTTGCATGCTATATTGGCACCATTCGGAAGCTTATTCAGACATCAAACAGATATGGTAACAGGCAGAAGACTAGATCCATATACCTGGCGATGATAGTCCTTCTGGTATTCATCACCTGCTTTGCTCCCAATAACTTTATTCTACTTGTGCATATGATCATCCGCCTATTTTATGACAGAAGTTTGTACCCTGCCTACAAGCTCACCTTGTGCTTCAGCTGCCTCAACAACTGCATAGATCCCTTCATTTATTATTTTGCATCCAAAGAATTTTACCAGAAATTCATGCAACTGTTTCGCCCTAAGGTACTGCTCAGTGACAGTCTGGAAAACAGAAGGGAAAGCTTATTCTCTGGCAGGACCATGTCAGCCAGATCAATGTCAAGCGGACCAATGGATGGGTTAGAGGGAGTAAAGGTCTATTTGCAAAGGCAAGAAAGTGTTTTTTAGCCTTAGACATCCTCAGAAGAAAGGCAGCTGTGAGGTCCATGAGCAGAAACAGAAAACCTTCCTTTCTGAATGGCTACCCTCAAAATACCTTGCTCCAGCGACAGAACTCAAGCCATACTTATATTGTGCACCCCACTTCAATATTTTTTTGGTGAGAAATGGAAGCGTTAAAGGAACTGAGTTTATTCAAGAAGGCACTGAAGCAAACCTAACATTGTTAATTAGGGTTTGGCCCGGAATTAGTCCTACTGAATGAAACCAATGTTTTGTTTAGAACAAAAATTACTTTCAGGGTGTGTGATCTCAGTGTTTAATCAAAGGCTTGTGATTCACATTGAATGTGAAAGATTACTGTATATGAATTAGAGCATACACTGAAATTGGATTTGGGGTAGGGGAGTTATTTTTCTAAGCAATGTGCTGGGTTTTTTTTGTTTGTTTTTGTTTAATGTATTGCTTTATCTCCTGCTGTATTTCTATAAAAGAATGAATAAAAATAGCTTGTCTTTTTATCATTAATGCATAATGCATAGCCACTGTGGATTCACCACAACAGTCACCCAGCTGTTTATCAGAACCAAACCACACTAACCTTTGAAAAGGTTAGGTTGACTCATATTATTTATTTCATTTTATATAGCAGAATATCTCAAACAATTGAAGGAAAGCTAGAACTAACAATGTTTGAGACTACTTCAGCTGCTGAGCAGATTATATTTTAATTTCCTGAAGCTATTAATTTCTCAGGATAGAGGGGAACAGTTTTTTTAAGAAAACATTTTATCACATTGACCTACTACAGTTATAATGCTGCTGCTCTTGTGTGATTGGTATCAATAAGTCCTTTTCACCAATTCACTATAGGCTATATGCAGAAGAACCATTCCCCTCAGCAGAGAGTGTAGCTTTATATAGCCCATGGACAGTGAATTTATCTTCCTTATGGCAATGGTGTGGATTATTAATCAGATTTTCACATGGATATATGAGAATTAAACCACAGACTGGAGTGATTCTGTGCCAGCAGAAACCAGCTGAAAACCTGTCCCTGTGGCCAGATGTCAGAAACATTTAGTTTTTTTTTCAAGAGGGAAAACAGAAAGAAGAAAAAATGAAAGCAAGGCTTGAGAATGGGAGATATACCAAATACCCTGGAAATAGGTTACAGCAGGTTAATTATGCAGTCCTGTGTTTGGGACTCCTCTCTGAAATATCCTTCTCCAGCTTGTTTGCATATACTGTGTCATGTTTTAATTCTTCTCACATCTCAACAACTGCTTGGATGCTCAGCAACTGTGTGCTTGGATAGAAAACTGCTACAGAATATGTACTGGGGACAGACAAAGGCAAAGATTTCCTGTAGTGTTTACAGCTTTTTACTTACCTTTGTCCCTCATTGACAGTGAAGAGCCAAAAACCACCTGACAAAGCCAGACAAGTTTCCCCTCACAAGCAAGACACAGCTATACAGTATCCTTTTGCTGCACTGCGACTCCATCCAGTGCTGAGTAGGAGGCTGTCTTCGACATTGTGGATAGTTGGTTCAGACACCACATGATATGTCTGCCTTGAGCATACCTATACTGATTTCTGAACTCCTGTGTCTAAGTGAAATACAACGCTCAAGGCCCTTAAAATTCACATTTTTGTGTGTGTATATGACATGAATAAAACACAGTTTTCCACCATAATCACCATGAGCTTCTTCACAATATTGGCTGGATAACCACAAAGTCAGCTGTGAGATATTTGTATGTCCTATCTTTTGCTAAAGTATCATCAGTTACTGGAGCAGGATAAATGTCAGTGGACCTAGTACTACCTTTCAAAAGCCGTCTGAAGTGTTTTGTGGCATTTCATAGTGTTAGTTTTAATTGATCTGCACATTGTCTGCCCACAAGGCCAACCTTAGTGATATGCAACTTGTCCAAACCTTCCCATCAATTTGCTGGGAAGCTACCCTGCACTACCAGTCTGTGTGCTGGCTGCGTATGTGCAGTGAGATGGGCTTGCTACTTTACATCATCTCTTGGGTGCTGAAAGAGAGGAGCCCACTGCATATGTTCCTGGTGAGTCCAGGGCTCTGAGCTCCTGTGTCAGCTCTAGCACATGCTCCAAAATGCCTGCTTGTGCCAGGACATCTAAAGAAAGAACGATGTCTCTTTCTAAGCCATTACACATCCGTCAGGCAGAAATTTAGTTAGTTTACTTATGTTTTGCAAACCTGCATATTAATTTATCAGTGCATGGTTTCACCTTGCTGTTCAAGTCCCTCCACTATCCACTTTCACAGAATTCCATCTTTCTAATTACCAAAAATGTTTTCAGCATTTTGTTGTGGCAGAAACTTTTTTGGAGGTTATACTGAAATCTCTCTCCTGTATGTTTTGGTTTTGTTTTGTTTGTTTGGTTTTTTTTGTTGTTTTGTTTTGGTTTTGTTTTTTTTGTTTGTTTTTTTGTTTTTTTTTTAACATGCAAGTATTTTTACAGTGAGAGCCATTACTTCTCCTAGCTCTAATGCAGACTTTCACTCTGTTTTATCTTGAGCCTGATCCTCAAGCACTTAGTGTCTCTTAAAATGTGCTGCAATGTGCCTGAACTGTAACTGACAGCAAACAGAGCCAAAATAGAAGAAACTTTGCACTTTGGACGTTAACTGCTATATTTTGAAAAAATACTGAATTGCTTCTTTTTCAAGTGAGAAAAGATGCTTACAACTGACTGGAAATGTTCTTCTCTTGAGCCTCATGCAGGTCTTCATAGCCCTTCATCCCTCTTCTGACATTGTCTAAAAATGAACAAGAAGGATTCCTCATTCAGGTACCTCTTCGTGTCATTCTACTAACTAGCCCCTACTTAGCTCTGATTAGGCAATATTCCCATTTGAGTCAGCAGGATTGTTCCTTGAGAAAGGAATATAAAACTGAACCCAACAACAGCAGTGTTTTGAGTCTAATGGTGTATACTATGAAGTTTTGGAGGAATTTTTTAGGAGAGGACGAGCAGAAATTATACTGTTCTTTGACACTGGAAACATGTCCTTCTGGGGCACCATAAGGTAGCAAGACTTCTACCCTCCTTGGTCAGTGGGTGTGAGTGACATATATATATCTATATATATACACATAAATGTAGATTGTCATTTGAGAGGTTATTGAGAAGTTAATGTTTATATTGCCCTTCAGTTTGGGGAATATGGGTCCTGAGCAACATGCTTACTTAATTGCTTCTATGGTTAATGTCATTTTAGTGAGAAGACATGAATGTATAGGATTCTGTTTGAGTGTGGGTTTGGGGTTTTTGTGGTGGGGATTTTTGTGGTTTTTTGTAATTATTGTTTATCATTTTAATCTATGAATGTGCTTGGACTTTTCCATATATATATAATAATAATAATAAAAAAAACCCAAAACATAAAAAGGACATGATTTAAGATTCTTTCCTTTGTTTGCACCTGCTATGTGTGAGAAACTTCCAGGGTTAGAAGCAGGCAAGGAAACCAAGTTATGAAATAAAACTAATCCATTTTCCATTGCTGTTGTGCTTTTCTTTAGATTTCTGTTTAAAGTCTCTTATTTTTCCCACACAGTTTGAAGATTGATTTTTTTTTTCTTTGCATACTTGTTCATTTTTTTTTTCTATATATCTTAGAAGCTGGAATTGGCATACCCCCTTCACACAAATTTTAAAAGCAGCAATACTTGAATGAGATGGTGGCTAACTTGGAATCCTTCTCCTTGCCCAATAGATGCACCAAATGCATACATTTTTAAATTTTAATGCATTTCTGAAGGGGACTGGCAGCCTGGGTCTGTCCCAGCCCCAGCCAGGAGCAGGGCAGCCGGAGGGCACTGGGGCAGCCCCAGCTCCAGCAGTGGTCACCTTCCTGGGGATGGGGATGGGTCATGGGCCCACGGGTGGGCCTGGCTCAGTGAGGACCACAGTCAGGCAGGGCAGGGCAGTGGGGAGCTGGAATCTGGCTGATGGGGAAAGGGCTGATGGCCCTGGAGTGCTGACATGGGGTCCTGGGCCCTGGGCAGGGTGGGGGGAGTTCTAGGGGGCTGGGCAGGGACAGTCAGGGCTGGTGGTGCCTTGATAAAAATTCCCTAGACTGACTATGCTCCATTTTGGGTTCAGTGTCTGTTTGGCTACATCTGTGCTGATACTTGAGAGGGCCAGGAATCATCCTAAAGTCACTCAATCATTTTTTGTTGTTTTTTCTAGTTCAAAGTGTTTAAAATAACATATGTTTACACTGATACCCACCAGAGTGGTGTTTCTCTAAGGAGATGCTTAGGTTACATTTGGTGAAATTCATCATTGGTAAATGTGAAATAGTGCACATTCGGAAATCCAGTCATAGCTTTGTGTACAAAATTATGTTGGTCTCTTCATCACAGATAGGATCTAGAAGAACTGAAAAAGGCAAGAGAGGGGCATGTGGGATGATCTAAGGTATGAATTTAAACACAAGTTAAATAGTTTAAGCTCTTCAGCTATGAAAAGAGATGAATTAAGTTATGTAGGGAGTGCAGAAGCTGATTGGGATGAGTTTTACTGCCATTGCCCAAACAAGAACTGCAGAATAGTATGTTAAGCTGAGAGCCAGGCTCATAACCAGAAAAGTTAGTATCTATTATCATAGTTGGGGAACACCTTGCAAGGATGTTGTGGATGCACATTGTACATGGGTCAACAGAGAGACTGGAAGAGAAATTAATTGTAGATTACTAAATAAGCAAACAACAACAGACTCAGGAAAACTCCTAAGATTAGAATGGTCAAAGTTTGGAGGGCTATTAAAGGGAGGTGACATTATGTGAATGCCTTGTTCTCATTTTTCTTGAAATGCCGGTGCTTGCAGCAGGACACTGTAGGCTAGGCAGCCCCTTGGCCCCACTCTACTCAGTCTCATGGTCTCAGGTAAGGACTGCCAGAAAAATACCTTAGAGCCTGGCCTCTACCACCCTGCCTGCGGGGGTGCTGCCAGTGGGGATTCAGTGGGGAGCTTTGCCTCCTAGTGTCTTGGACCAGAGTCAGGGAGGGAGTTCCCCCTGGGGCACAAGCTTGGCTCTCTGTCACTTAGCCCCACTGACAAGACACAGAATGACAGGGTGGTTGAGGGTGAAAAATACTTCTGGAGGTCACCTTGTCCAACCCCCCTGGTCAAACATTCCCTCATGTTCAGGTAAAGATGAAATCATGTATCACCCTTCAACAAACCCCTCTGGCTGCTGGTAACAGTTAATCTATTTTGCTTCAAAGCATATAATTATTAATTCAATTTCTAACATCTTCTCTCACCTCTGTTCTCTTTTTCTCCATTGCCCGACTCTCTTGAAGGCTGCTGCTGTTAGAGCTGACTAGCAGCAGACCTCATTGCCCTCTCGGGGCAGGGCCATTCCCATTTGCTGGCTCTCTTTCAACTTCTCAGGCAGCAGCCTAGTTTACTCTTAAAAGCTGTCATAGCTGCATTAGTGGAGTATGATTCCCTGCCCTGAATGGTCACAAATACACTGACAAATACACTCTAGTGTTCCTTTGCTAAAAGAGAATGTAACAAGGTCTTTTGCAATG